GGGGCCGGGACCCGGGGACCCCCCACCCAGCGAGACACAAAAGCTGGTGGTCGTGGGCGGCGGCGGCGTGGGCAAGAGTGCGCTGACCATCCAGTTCATCCAGGTAGTGGGCCCTCACCCGGGGGGGTGCTCCCGGGACCCAGAACTTAGCCCTTGGGTGGATCCCTGAGACCCTGATTTCCCCTCGATCTATCACTGAGACCCTCCTGTGAGGCCCTCTAATCTTAAAAGTTCCCCTCAGATTCTGATCCTGAGCCCCCCAGGACCTCCACCCCTCTACATGAGGGACCGTCCTCCGATACTCATCCTGAGACCCACCGTCCCTCCCCCAGGACCCAAGACCCCTCTTCCCTGCTGGCTGGCCCCTGAGCACCTCCTGGGAGCATCCTAAATCCACGAATTGCCCCCATTCAGATCCTAAGCACTCTCATGTGTCCCCACCCCCTAACTGCCACCTCCCCTCACCCTGAGCCCCAACTCCCCCCAATCCCAGACCCCAGCTCCCACTCTGAGCCACCCAGAGCCTAACTGGGAGACCTCCTGTGCCCAAAGCCCTTGAGATCGCCCCAGTACGAATGCTTGGCTCCTTCAGGGACCTCCCCCAGAATCTAGAAATTATGCCCAGCCTTTGCCCCCTGAGGCCCATCTGGGACCCCCCAGTCCTGAGAGAGGGGCGCTCAGACCCAAGAGAGTTCAAAAAATTCCTGCCCCGAAGACCCCACGTTCTGTGGCTCCTTCATCCCCGCAGACCCACACCTTCGCCCTCCCCCAAGAAGAACCAACCGCTCCTCCTGCTGGAGTCCTCCACTCCAACTCCCTGAGCCCTTCTCAGAAGCTCTGGCCAGCCCCCCAAGTCTCCATGGAAGAAACCCAAGACTCTTGACACCCCCAGAAAAACCCACTCCTGGGGACTGTCTTTTCCTCCATAAATGCATGTCAGAGTCTCTAAGACTAGACACGCACCCATGGTCTATGACAAACCTTGAAATGCATCCGAATTACCTTGGGGCTGTCCCCCAGTTCTCACCCCTGAGCTTCTCCTGAGGTGCTCTGAAGACACATCCTAATCCCCCCCCCAGAGCCTGGTCCCTACACCCTCCCTCCAGGACAAGCCCTCATCGAGCAAACTCCCCACCCCAGCAGACCGGATGCAGCCCTCAGACCCCCAGCTTTCAGATCAGACCTTCACTCCTGAAAATGCACCCCTGCCCAGGGAACCTCACCCCCATTCCCAAGGGAAATCCTCCCGCCCCAGAGAAACCCTAGAAAGGTGTCTGCTCCTGAGATGCTACTGCAGAGGTCCCTGGGCTCCAGACCCATCAAGAGGCCCCAGCCAGCACCTGCATGGGAGCCCCTGTCTCTGTAGAGAAAGGCCCTGGCCCTAGGCCCTTACTCCCAGGGGCAGACCCGAAGCTGGCCAAAGGCCTGGCTGGAGGCGGGCGGGCGGGACCCAGGCAGGAAGGGAGGGGCCCAGCCTGCAGGCGGGGCAGTTTCTCCTAAGTCGGATTGGAACCGGGACCTTCCCTTGGGAGGAGACACTACAAGCCGCCCCAAGGAGGAGGAGGAGGGGAAGGAGGAGGAGGAGGGGGAAAAAAGGGACGAAAGAGAAAGAGGAGGGAGATATACAGACAGGCAGATATTCTGGGCAACGGGTCCCAATAACAAGCACATGTTATGTCTGGGCAGGATGTTAAATGCTTAGATGGTAAATGGATTTTCCCTGAATCTCACAAACACTGGATTAAGTTCATGTAGCGCTATTTTTACCCTCATTTTCTAAATGAGGAAACTGAGGTTCAGAGAAGGGAAGTGATTTGTTCAGTGCCACACAGCCATGACGTCATCTCGACGTGGGAGATGTACTCTATACCAGAAAGAGGGAGAAAACCAGGAGAGCCTCAGAGACAGCACTGGAGAGAGAGACGTCCGGGAGGGACAGAGACCAGAGAGAGGGGGACAGAGAAAGGCAGGCCCCTGGGCCAGGGCTGCACCATCTCTGCTGGGGCACTAACGGTACCCTCTCCCCACCCCCCGCCAGTCCTACTTTGTGTCTGACTACGACCCCACCATCGAAGACTCCTACACGAAGATCTGCTCGGTGGATGGCGTCCCCGCTCGGCTGGACAGTGAGGGCAGCGGGGCGCGGATGGGAGGATGGTGGGGATGGCCAGGGGGAGCCTCGTCCCCACGGGAGCCCTGTCCCCTTCTCTGCAGTCCTGGACACTGCGGGCCAGGAGGAGTTCGGGGCCATGAGAGAGCAGTACATGCGCGCCGGGCACGGTTTCCTGCTGGTGTTTGCCATTAATGACCGGCAGAGGTGAGCGGAGCAGGGAGGTGGCAGAGCAGAGGGGACCAGGGCCGAGCGACTGACTGGACCTCACGCCTCTGGCTTCATCTGCAGTTTCAACGAGGTGGGCAAGCTGTTCACGCAGATCCTCCGAGTCAAGGACCGTGACGACTTCCCCATCGTGTTGGTTGGGAACAAGGCAGACCTCGAGACACAGCGTCAGGTCTGGGAGCCCCGGGGACCCCACGTCAGCCCGCGAGGCTCCTTCCGTCTGGCGCACCTCCTGCCTCTCTTCACAGCAGCATCCTCCTCCGGCTCGTCCGGTCCTGCCCCCTCCACTGTCACACACCTCACAAGAGGTGTTGCCCCCAGGTTGGACCTTCTGAGTCCCCAGCATTGCACACAGGAGTTCCCAGGAGAGGTGGCTGGATGGAGAAAAGGGCATCTCCCCGTACCCGGGTCAAGCGGCTCTGACTCGGACCCATCCCCGCCTCTTGTTCTCACCTAGACTCTTGCCCCAGCCTCCCATGTCTCCCCGCCAGCCTACCTCCCACTTGGTCCCCGCTGCCTCTGCCCCTCCCTTGCTCTCAGCCCTCTACGGCCCCCCAGGGCCCCTGGGAGAAACCCTCAGCTCCGCCTGGTGCTTGATTAGATGCCCACCGCGTTGTCATCCTCCTCTTTCTAAGCTTCCACTGGTTCCCCATGCACGGGGACTCTGTGAGCCCCACACAGAATGCAGCTTTTAGATTAAGCCTTTGGGGATTTCCAACCCCGGGAGCTTGGCTCAGGCCTGTGCCAGGAACACCCAGATTTGTCTGCCCAATGAACTCGAGTTACACAATACCCAGGAGGGCAAACGCTTGAGCGGCCTTCCTCTACTCCTTACTCAGATGGCGCCGAGCCCCCTCGGCACCCCCCACGATCTCTCCAGAACTTTCCCTTTCCACTTGAGCCCCTGCAGTGTGTAACCCCCATACAGAGGACAGAGTGTTACGTCTTCCTGTCTGCCCTGCCCCCGCGGGGACCCCCGAGTGCAGGGACCTGATTCCTCCCTCTGTCGCCCCCAGGTCCCCCGATCTGAAGCCTCCACCTTCAGTGCCTCCCACCACGTGGCCTACTTCGAGGCCTCGGCCAAACTGCGCCTCAACGTGGACGAGGCCTTCGAGCAGCTGGTGCGGGCTGTCCGGTGAGCCGAGCCCCTCCCCTTCGTCCTTGTCCCCAACCCCTGTGGCCTAAACTCACCAACCTCTTCCCACAGTAAGTACCAGGAACAAGAGCTCCCGCCCAGCCCGCCCAGTGCCCCCAGGAAGAAGGATGGGAGCTGCCCCTGCGTCCTCCTGTAGCGCGGGCACAGGAGAAACCACCAGCACGAGCTCTAGGGACCAGCCGCCCTCGCCCAGCCCGTTCCCCGATCTGGGACACACTACACGCCCTCCTGCAGGTCCTGGCCTCCTCTGGACCGCTGCCACCGTGTGCCTTCTGCCTACGCCTCCTTTCCCCACCCGAGCCCCCGGTGGGGGTACGGGGCTCCCGGGCATCCGGGTCACTGCTGTATATAACCCCCTCCCCCAGAGAAATAAACATCACTGCCACTGTCAGGAAGTGCTTTTCTTTTTTTTAAAGGGAAAAGAGCTAGGGGAGGTAGGTGAATTCTGGGCACACGTGCTAAAGCCTCACCCCACTTAGGACCAGTGGATCTGGACCCCTCTGCCTAGCGGGGGTGTGGGGACCTCGAAAAACAAAGCGAGCCTCGCGTCTGGACCCCTACATCCCCTTCAACAGGACGAGTCCACCCTTTTCTGTCTTGGTGGACGTTTGCTGGGATGGGGTTTAATGTCTGAAAAAGAAATTTTTTTTTTCCTGGAGCATTCTAGAAATGCACTGTTCGATAGGGTAGCCAGAAGCTACACAGTTCCTCAGTCACGCTAGCCACATTTCAAGAGCTCAGTATTCGCATGTGGCCAGTGGAGTTCTAGAAGGTACTGGAGCCTGGAAATGGCCAGCAACAGCTACAAGCTCTGCCTGCCCCCCACCCCCGGTGTACACTGAGAAAGCCCTTTGGGTTGGAGAACGGAGATAGGGCAGGTGGGTGGAATGGTGTGTCCAAGCAGCCGGCTGGCGATTTCTCAGTTCCAGAAAGCTCCAATTGGGCTGACGCCTGGGTCCAAACTCTGAATCCAACGTGGGGCCGGTGTGGATACACCCCATCCGAGCCTCTCTCCTGGGAGGGCTTCAGTGTGGAGCATTTTAAGGCCACCGCAAATTAGCTGCCAACACACTTCGGTCTGAAAACCCTTAATTCCCCCCACATTCATCCCAGAAACCCCAATTCTGTGTTCTACCTGGGAGGCTGGAGCCAGACCTGGAGACCACTGCTCAGCCATAACCTAAGCCCCTGTGAAAGGTATCTTTGAACCCCAACACCTACTCAACACATGGGGCCAGACCTCAACTCGTGTCCCCAGACCCTGGAACTTAGACCTCCACCTGACTGTCACCAACACTCTGTCCGCCGCCCCCCCCCCAGTAGATTACGGTCCTGTATGGGCCTCACTACCTCTGCCGAGTGCCTCCCAGTCTTCACATCTGTAAAATGGGGGTGACTATCCAGCTTCCCAGGGCAAGAGGCCTTGAGGAGCCAATGTGCCCACAGGGATGGACACAGCAGCGCCTGGGACATACTAAGTGCTCAGTCTCGATGACCAAGGCCCCAGTGTTCTGCCCCAGAACCATGAATGTCCCTCTGTATTCCAGATTAGAACAATGATTAGCTGAATGTCCCTTTCCGGGTTTCAGTATCACAGAATCCTTGGCCTGTGCTCAACCTTCCGCCCTGGGAATAAGCCTTGCTCCGATGTATTGTGCCACAAGATCACTCACCCTCCCCCAGAACCTTTGCTCACCAGGGACCCACCCCTGTGGGATAGGGAGGGGCTAGTGGGGGGATATTCCTATCAGTTTCTCAAGCTCTGACACCTCCATCTAGGCCCCAGCCATGGGCTGAGGCACTCCCCTAGGATAAGGTCTGAGACCTTCCTGCATTGTCTAACGGGGCCAAGTTCTGGGTGGGAACAGCCCACTTCCTGAAGGACCGAGATGCACTTGGAGAAGCTGACGAAAGCTACCGCTTGCCCCCAGAACAAGGTGCACGGACACACCCACGGTTACTTGCAGCCACTTTTGGAAGGTTCGCAGCCACCATTCCAAGCTCGACAACGGTGTTGGTGTGGGGCCCACCTAGTTGGCATCTCGCTAGGCACGTGTGTGTGTCCAGGCGTCTCTGGTTCTCGCCCTCCCCTGGGTGCTGGCAGGCCCTGACAATGATTACGTCTCTCCAGGTTTCAATGGCCATCTCTTCATCCATCACAATTGTCCCCTCTTCCCTTCTTGTCACCTCTTGGACCTCCGACAAGTCTCTCGGGGTCTCCAGCCACGGGTAGGAGCTGAGTGCTTCAAACACGTTTCCTTTTATCTTGACAAAAACCCATTTTACAGATGACAAAGCTGAGGATGGGGGCTATTCTCCAACTCGCCTGGTTAGTGCCGGAGCTGAGATTCGGTTTGGGCCGTTGAACTTCAAAGGGCCAATCACAGGGTGATTCTAACCCCACCGTCCACCTTCTGGCCACTCCATCCACTTTCTACCCCAGAGCTCCAAACTGGGACAACGCTGACTCTGGAATCTTTGGCCCCAATGTGCCCTTTCCGCTCAAAGGCTGCACCCTCAACATGCTACGGGTCATGGTTCAAGGATGCTAATGGCTCATTCGCATTGCTCTGAACTAAGATTCTAGAAAATCCACGGCCCTTCGCTGACTCTCCCATTATAGTTCTCAAACGTTACTACCCATCTTCCATTCGATAAAACTAGGGCTCTAGTTATCAAGAGCACTGGAGATGGTGCAGACATCGAGGTTCTAGAATAAGGTTCTTCTCCTGGAAGGGCATCTAGAATGCTGACGACGTTCCCCTAAATTTCACACTGGGTCTCTACCTACTGACCAGCCATCGCGATGCCGGTACCGGGGTTCTAGAATACCGACAGTCCGTCTTTCGCAGTGTCTGGGCTCTGTAACCGTGGCTTATCACTACTTTATAGGCTGAGTTCGAGAACACGGCCTTTGGACCTTCATATTTCCAACCCTTGTTCTAGAACATGACTCCTCAGACTCGACTATGCTTTAGAATCCTCCCAGGATTTTACCAAAAAGTGGGTTCTGCTTCAGTAGATCTGAGACAGAGCCCAAGCGTCTCCATTCACGCTCTTGGGGGGGCGGTCCTGGCCCACGCGCCGAGTGGCAGCGAGGCTGGGGAACAGAACAGACTCCATGCTCACCTCACAACTGTCGGTTCACTCGTGACCCTGTGGTTTCGGGGCTCCAGAACACAGAGACCTCCCCACCCCCAATTCTACATCAGGGAGCCGAGAGAAAGCTGGTTAACTCCTGACAATTGCCACTGCCCGTACTCGTTTAAAAATACATCCAAAAAGTCCTATGCTCAGCTCCGCTCTCACTGAGCATGTGCTGGGGGCCCCGGGGTCTCCTCTAGTGAAGAGGTGGCAGAAGCAGTGGTGAATGATGACAGAAACATCTCGTGGCTACCGCCTGGCTCTCTCCCTTGGATCACGCGCTCTGGGGGAACCTGGCTGCCATGCTGTGAGGACACTCCAGTTGCCCTATGGGTGAGGTCCACGTGGCAAGGAACTGAGGCCTCCAGCCAACAGCCACTCCAAGTGAGCCACCTTAAAAGCAGATCCTGCGATTCCAGCTAAATCCTTGTTGACTGCCACCCTGACTGACGACCTGTCTACAACTCTCGTGACAGACCCTAGGCCAGGATCACCCAGCTAACCCGATCCTGAATTCCTGATCTTCAGAAACCGTACAATGATCAATGTTTCTTGTTTTAAGTCACTAAATATTGGGGTGGGCTATTTGTTACACAGCGAGACATGACGAATACAATGACCCCAGCCCAACTACCTCCCAAGGGGCGGGGGGCTCCAGAAAAGCCACCTTCCGTTTCCGGACCCTCTGCCCGTGCCTCCCCAGGGCCACCCAGACGCCGCAGGACAGAGCCACTCCAGCCGGCCGATAAAGTGTTTGCCGTTGGGTTTTCGTTTGGCTGGTTGTGTGTACACAGTGTGTACAAGTTGAGTTGTACAGAAGCCCAAGAAAGAGCAAGAGACAACGGTGGGGTGGGGGAGGTGGGAGCAGAAGGGTGAGAGAGAGGAGGGGAGACCGATAAAAAATAGAACCACATCCAGACGACAACGGGATGGGGATGGTGTGTGCGCTGAGGGCAGACACGGACGAACCGCAGTAGAAACGGAGTGGAAGAGGCAAAGGGAGGGGACCGGGACCCTTCTCCCCTCTCCGCCTCCCCAGCCTCCCGCCCCAGGTATGTACAATAAATAAGATTAAAAATAATTAACAAGATGCGTTTTCCCCCTCCCGCCGACGCCGAATGCCCTGGGGAGGGAATGGCCTTTAGCAAAGATCTTGGCCTGTAAGGGGGGGCTCAGGGGGAGGGGGTCCCCCAGCTCTCTGAAGCCGCCCCACCCCCCTCAACCATACATAGACTTTTCCTATACATTATGTACAAGGTGGAGGGGGCAGGGCTATGGCCGTGGAGGGGGGATTGGGGCAGGAGGGGAGGGAAACTGGTACTAAATAGACATTTATACATATATATAAATAATTTCTCTGTACACCGGACAGTAGGAGGATGGGGAGGGAGTGGAGAGGGCTTGGGGGGGGGGGAGTCGAACTCGAACCCTGCCCAGTGGGGGCAGCATGGACACACCCTGACCAGCGACTCCCCGCCTTCCCCGGCAACAGGGCCTGGGGGCTAGTGCCTGAGGACACAGTTCCGTCCCAATTCTCCGCTCATGGAGGAGGTGGCCCCCCCAGGCCGGGGGAGGGGGTCACCCACAGCGGCTGTGGGCCTGTGCTTGGGCCAGCAGGTCGCTGAAGGAGTCGAAGAGCTGTTCCAGCCACGGTTGGTTCCGCATGCACTGCTGGACCACCTCCTCCTGGCCCAGGTCCTCCGCACCGCCCTCGATGGCCAGGGTCTGCGGGGGTTAAACACGGAGCTGGGGCAGGTGGCCTCTGGGGCCTGGGGCGGGAGAGGGCAGGGGGCTCAGGGATCAGAGTCACAGGGAGTGAGGGGCTGGGGGCGGGACTCCTGGGTCTGAGGGAGGAGGGGCCGGGAGTCTGGCCTCCCGGGTCCAGGGAAGAGCGCGAGGCAGAACCCCAGGGCGACGCACGCTGTGGCGGACTCACCTGGTCCCGGCAGCGCAGGAAGGTGTGGTATTTATAGTGGTGGAGTGAGTGATAGAGTGTGTAGTATCCCGACTTGTCCAGCTCAACCTTGAACTCCTGGGCAGATGGGGTGGAGAAGCCTCAGGCCCCGCCCAGCAATGGGCGGCCCCTCCTCCCACCCCGCAGGCCCCGCCCCTGCCCGCCCGCACCTGGGCTCGGACCACACTCCTCTTGAGCTTGCTGAGCGTCTTGCGGTTGTAGGGCTCCCCGGCCGGCCGCAGCCGCACGGCCCCATCTTCGGGGGAGCCCTCCCCGCTCTGCTCCACCTGCAG